TCGCCGATGACCATCATCCCGTTGGCGTGTCGCCACTGCTTGCGTACAATGTGGGAATTATTAGCTTCTTCCCTCTAGATGGCCTATATGTAGGATACCTAGGTGTTATGAGCAGGCTTCTTAACTTGCGGCTGAAAAGTCCGCGGGAAACGACCTTCAAATTGTCAAGTGCAGCAGGTACCACAGTAAATGATAAGTTACGAGCTCTGAATCCACACCTGACGTGGCAATTCCCGCAGCGCGTCCGGTACCTTAGTGATTTGGACACATGGAAGGGATCGGAGTTTCCTAAGTTCCTGCCTTACACAAGAGTAGTAGCCCTTAGAGGTATGCTTCCTAGGAAGTACTGGAAACATTTTCTGCTGTTGTTCGCAGCAAAACGTTGTCTCGTTCGCCCGCAGTCTTGCAGACAGTGGATGCCGTGAAGTAGGAACTTGATGAGGATGTTCGTTGACAGATTTTCAGCATTATATGTTAAATCACAAATGGTGTACAATGTTCACAGTATTGTACACCTACCGGATGATGTTGTGCGACATGATTCGCTTGATAGCCTCTCGTAGTTTCTCTCCGGGACATGTTTAGGGAAACTGATGCGTATGCTTAGAAAACCGTCGCAGCCGCTCCAGCAGGTAGTGCGTAGGTTAGGGGAAATGCAGGCTGGGCGGCGCGCATTACCATATCCAGTAGAGTGGACTTTTAACTATGAGCACTGCAACGGTCCAGTACCACCAACGGGCGGCAGGTCTACACAATTTAGGTTGATTCAGAAAGAAGAACTCATCATTGGTAAGACTCAACCAGAGGGGTCAATAGCAGTCGACGACTAGTGTGCATTAAGAGCATAATACGATATCCACGTGGAGGCGTAGGACTAGTTTAGGTTGACTACGAGGACGCTGAAGATCATTTTGATTACTCTATGCACTCGTCGAATACTAAAGTTTTTAAGGTCAGGATGGGACAATTGTCAACAATTGCCCATTGCCAGCAGCCGTTCGCAAATATGTTTGCTTCGCTATCGATGACCACGTCCTCCTAATGAAAATCAATGAACGTTGGGACATGGACTATTGGCAGCGTTGAGTGTTAGTGCAGTTCACCGGCGTTTCGATGACGCAGTCGGACGGTAAACTTTCCTCATATTCTCCCGAACGTATTGTGGTATCACTATACCTCTCACAGTTCAACGGTTAATATCCGCGAAACCGGCAACTTAACAGTTCCTTAGTTATTGTTTCGTGGATAATGAGGGGGGACAGTGAACTGTTACATAGTTTTAACTATCATAACCCCCTAATGTACTGTTTGGTGGCAGATTGCTATGTCTGACCGCGAAGAAAAGAGGCGTAGGAAACAGCCGAAGCGATGGGCGAAGAAACCGTATGAGAAGAAAGGCCTATGGACAACAATTCCGGACCTGTCATCATCTTCAGTAGGGTTTCGACTTAGCTTACATCCATTCCCTTTCCGCAATCAGAGGCTGACAGTACGGACCCCCGCTGCACATTGCCCTTGGGCACGTCATCAGCACACACAGACATTCGCCTACCCATCCGAGCTGCTTGCCATAGGCCCCGGCAACCGACACCACAAACAGCAATGGCGTCATTCCTCCTCCTGCTGACGGAGGACGTGATAGCTTAAGCTATCAGGGATGCTGTAGCACACTTACAAGGGCGTGCACACAACAGATCAAAAACCTAAAATCAACTTAGGTGCGATCTAATATGGATCTTCGGTATTAGCAGATTCATATAGCCTATTTAGTGCTTATATGGGATATATTATACAAAATGAAAATGGGATTGTATCAATGCGTACTCAGATAAACGATTTGAAACCACAGCCAGCAAATCCGACGAGTTCGCCTTCTCAAAGGCCTTTGATACAACTGTTTTTTCGTCGAAATCCCCTTGCAACAGTTCAATCAACTCGCTTTCGCCGGCCATAAATAGCGTTGACTAGTTATTTACAATAGTCGCGAATGATACATGCGACCAACGCCCCTTTCCGGCAACCAGGCAAACAGAAAAATGGGTCGACAGTGATAGAGAAAAACAAACATAAATAAAACATAAATACATGAAAATACAGCACCAAGTGTCCACACAGGAAATAAAAAAGTAAAAAAAAAACAAAATGTGCTATTTTTGTCTTTTATTGTATGCCGTAAGTCTCAGTGTTCAATGAAATTATTCCTTTGCACTGTCGTTGTTACCGAGGAAATGCTGTACTTATGGGAGATCACATCATAGAAAATGGGTAAACCATGAATGTGTCCACCTTCTCTGATACGCCGTACGGCTGAGAACTAACTTTTATAATGGAGTGGCGGATATCGAGTAGATAGCGGATTTCTCATATAGGTATGTCGAGTGGACCGGCGAACGTATATCAAGCAAATATCAAATTTTCGAGATACTCGAAAAGCAGCGGCAGTAGGATACACAACACTCTCTATGACCCCATCACCCACGGAAGTACTAGCGCTTAGTACTATTTCGAGCTACATTGTTTCCATCGTCCATTCCGGTCATTCCAGACCCACTACCATCGCCTTCGTTTGAACGACAAACGTATGAAAACGCAATGTACACACACCACTTATGTAACCGTGTGAAGGAGAAGATGTTTATTAGAGAAATAACAAAAACAGACATATGCATTAGCTCTCCGAGATGTCCTAAGTCCCTGTCATTGCAATTAATCGACGAATCAGACACGTACTCTATCGAAATCCGAGGACTGGGTCTACGCAGAAAATAATTCTGTAATTAATCATCGTAAAGGTACTGTGGCAGTTTGCGTCTCCTGACCATCCGCCTTTGTCACGCTGCCTGTCCGCCTCACACTCCTTGTCGATACGCCGCTGAGACGTTCGAGGCTTGTCACTAGCCCCGCGAGTGCTCGAAGCCAATCAACGCTGCCCCCACTCTGATTGGCCGGCGGACGCGGAGACAACTAAAGGCGCACACACGCGCTGGGTCTCAGCACCTCGAAGGCGGACTCAGACAACAAATTGCCTAGAGTGCGCGTTCGCGCCAACTGCCTACAGAGCCCTTGTGTACGCACTTCCTCAGGCAGTAAAGGTTGTCCAACTTAAACTGTCTTCCCTGATTTTTCATTGGGAATCTTTGTCCTGTCGACCACTCTTCTTTCGACAGATCTAGCGTTCGTTTACGTTGTGTTGTTGTGGTTTTACGTTTTTTTGTTGGAGTGTCCAGCGACCGTCTAAGTCGCATTGTAAAGAACTACTCTATGTCGACTAGGGTAACCTTTTAGCCAGCATTCCACATGCCAAAGACATCTACAGATAGAATAGTAATGACCCCAATGGAAACGTACCCGTAACGACTTCGTATCCTGTAGATCTTGAAAGGCCTCCCTTTATCTTCCACCTTTTGAAGTTGATGTGGAGACGGATAACATCCGCAATAAGGACGTAGAAGGTCCTTTTGATAAAGTCATCTAATGAACATCCACCTAGACAAACTAGGTAGGAAAACTAATGAACGCGCTTAACGCACGCCAACCAATGGCAGAGCAGGTTATACAGACGGGGTAACAGATAAGATTGGTATATTGAAAAAAACGCTATTGAACTATTGTAGCGACCTAGGACGTCAGGGATAGTGAAGCACTTGGAAGAGATCGTGGCTAAGATCGATTTGAATAGAGTTGTTAGCATGTTGAGATACTCATCCGCACGTTCGGGAAGAAGGAACGTCAACTAGGCGACAAGGTATAATGGAAAGCGATGGGAATTGGGAATACATATAATAATGGTTAATTGTACAAGCGAGGTGAGGTACAGCTCCGGAGTAACCTGTCTGAATGAAGAGGCGACTCTGACATGCCAGTTAATTAGTCGGTGGGTTGGGGAGTGTGCAGTGCTGTGGGAAACTGTAGGGAAGGGCCGAGGTAGCTGCCGACGTAGAGAGAGAGAGAGAGGGAACGATTCGGGCATAACGGTAAGTTGCGGAAAAGGGGTCGGCGGTAGTGAAGGGAAGGGTCGCCGACCATCTTCACCAGCACGCAGTTAAGCCATCACCATCTCAGGTCCGCGCGCCAAAAGCATTTCTTCCTTCAAACAACTCTACACCAGTCGTGGGCCGTTACAGTATATCGACTCGAAATTCGTCCGCTATTAGTGAAATTATGTAGGTGGAGGGCGGGAGGGGATATGTCAGTAATGCCAACAAATTGTTAAATTAAATATTTCTTGTGATTTATTATACTGTAATATTGAATTTAAGAACCTACGCATTCCAGATTAATACAGATCTAATGATTACACTCCGGAAAAGTAGTCTACCTCGTAAGTGAGCTACGTAGGTAACCCGACCGGTGTGTCGACAGGTCGAGGTTGGAAAAAAACCGTATTCGTAAACTCGTAAATGTCCGCAGACCGCGGTTTTGCTATTCGAATACCATATATGGCAGCAATGCCTGCAGCAATTTCCTCCGACTGAAATATTTTAGTGTTATTACTTGTGTCCTTCCACATACTTTCAAAATCATTTTAATAAGTGGCTTGGGGCTAGGTCGCTGTTAAAAAGACAGGGAGGACGACATTGTTGCCTTAATTCACGTTGCTCACCGAATTTTCACAAGTCACAAAGATCCACGTTAATCGCACATTCGTCAGGTCAATCCTCCTCTGAATTTGTGTATCTTGAGCTATATGGAGAGATTTTTGGCCACTGCTGCCTGTGAACCATCCGCTGAAATACAGCGGATCGGTTTCAATCGCGACAGTACGCATTTGCCGTGAAACATTGATGGGAGATTTCAGGACACCGAAGAAGGATGGTCGAAATAATTTAAGCATGTAGTTCTTCGTCTTTCTTTGTGGGCTCCGTGGTAATGCCTTCATTTTAATACCGAATTTGGTAATTTGTAGTTGGTATTTTACTGGGCTGGCATTTTACCGGAAGTTAAAAAGTCCTAGCGGATCGTTTTGTCTGAATGCTTTTGGTGCTGCGTATGTCAGTCTCATGGAGGAAGTAGCTTTTGGCTCGGATATACAAATTTTTCTGCCAGCATCTACTACTGCTAAATCAGGGAAACGCGTTGTCCCTCGCAAAAGACCTCTACCTTCCTGGCTGCAGAAAGAGTTAGTCAGATTTGTGTTCATGTTGGCCTTACTCAATCCTACCCACATTTTTCACTTATACGCATTTCAGACGTCAAAACTGTGCTGTCGAGTTGGAATCGTTAAGTTCTAAGAGGACGGGCGTTTGCATTTTAATGTTTTACTTGCACAATTTTGCCTGTAGAACTTTACGGGCCTTCACTAGCAGAGACTGTTTTTTTTATTTGATCCTTTCACAAACGCGTTAATACCCTCGTCATGCTCGCCGTTACAGAGCCGTTCCTGTCTGTCCGTCCGATCTCGTACCTCGTTGTTACTTGTCCGTGTACCGTACCACGCAGCATTATGAAAGATAAAATTCAGGGTCCTTTCTGTTTTTGTTTTATTCTTCATGCGAATAACGCACCATGCCTCATTGAACAAGAGAAATATAACCGCATCTGCACTTCTGGACGTTTTGCGCGCACGAACTCTTTTACTTTTAGTGGGTCACAAATACAACATGTGTTTAGCATGTAATTGCGGTATGTATTTGTGCTTTCACGTGAGATTGACTATACCACTTTCTCGGAACTTTTACATGCTCCGTGGAGCAGTTGAGATCAAGATATTGTTAGAACAAAGACATACTAACTTCGCCAACCAAACCTTGTCAAACGTCACATTAGGTACATAGGAGACATAGATTAGGAAATTTCTAAATAAACGAAATATTTCTGATCAACCGGAAAACGGTAGATGTGTCGACCGAAACATCAAACTAATGATGAAAGACCTCCAGTTTAGTGGAAATACCTGAGAACGCAGTTAATATTTTCGATCGCAACCGACAGGGCAACGAATCTTTGGTTTAATGATAGAGCGCTTGACTCAGCAGCAAAATTCCCTGGTTCCAATTCTAGGCGTGCGAGTAATCTGGAGTTGAGTATGCCTGGCTGACGACGGCTGGTAGGCCGAAAATGGCCGTCCCAGACCCCGTTTGTCAGTACTCCTCCAAAATCAAAATGTCTATTGGAAGTAATATTGCGCCGCTCGTAAAATATCGGATTCCTGAAGAAAAACAGGAATGTCGAAAAGGCAAAAATCGTGTCGAATGAGTAAAAATCTTTAAAGTACATAAATCCCGTCCGTTCAAACAACTAAGTATGTACAAGAGCGTAAACACAATAGCTATCAAAAAGTCCTGCCCACGTAAATTCTAAGTATCATCCAAAAATTCGCGTTGAGAGGTAGGGCGCTTAGCTAAGTGTATAATTTTTGGTTATAAGTCCCGAAACTGTTCCACGAAGATTCGATGTATTTTTTCCAAATTTTCGCACTTGATGCGGTTGATTAAAGCAAAGGGGCTTTTGATTGATTTCGCTGATACGGACGCAGCAAGAATAAGAGTTTCTATCAAGGGACATCTTGAGAGCTCGGTCAATCGCCGAGAAATTGGAATAAGGTTGGCAGCTCTAATCATAATTATATTATTTTCCGTGCATGAATAGGTCTTTCAGTAATATTACTGTGCGGATTTTGGCGACGGTCCACTACGCCGAATTACAATGTCCTTGAAATTTCGATGGTTACCTTGCGGTTTTCATTGATCCCAATCAGGCGGCCGAAAAGACAGATTTTGTAGTTTGTGTCTACGAAAACCCTCAAATAAGGTATCTCGTGGAATTATTTACTAGAACGATGAATTGTTAGGCGACATTTCTTTTTTATGCAGATGGCCGCTTGAGTCGTATTTGTAGACTCATCCAAACATGAAACTTCAGCGCCAAAAATGAACGTATGTAAATAGAGCTTTCGCGCAACTTTTTTAATTATAACATAATTCTCGAAAATGACGGTCCTTCAGAGGCTGGCAAGATGTATAGGCCTATTTAGTGTGTAACACTTGCGACAAAAGTAAACCACCCACCTAAAGTAAACGCACTAATTAGAGCCGAATTGCGCCCTACTAGGGAATGAATGAGAATATATGTGGGGGAAAATGTAGCGCTTTCCAAAAGATCGGGAAAGATAGCCCAAGAAAAGTGAGCAAACAGAGGTAACTATGCTAGCTAAAGTCTGACTTATGAATTATTCCACTGGACCCGTCAGCGTCGTCCACATAGGAGTCTCGCCGGATTTGTCGGAGGTTTTAAGCACAACTTCTACATTATGCACTGGTTTTCTTTGACTGAGAACATTGCCGTCAAAGTACCCAGACGCGCATTTGAACAGCTGGCGTCTAGTATCAGGGTGCGTACCAAAACCAGTTTGATCAGAACTCCCCTTATATGCAAATTTGATAACCTTTTTCTGTAGTGAGGAGTGGGGAAGAAAGTCGGCAGTAGTCTGGTTGGAATTCTTTCAGTAGTTTCTTATGTTGGCTATTGATCCTTTTGGGGACAAAAAGTCAAATTAGAATACCACAAATGGACTTCCCTTACTTTATAATAGTTTTAGAATAAAGTTTTCTGTAGACTGGGACCAGCTGCTTCACTCATATCTCCGGAAGAGTAGGACAGAATAGTCACGCTTCAGGATCAATCAAGGTGCGACAAGGGTATCATTATAGAACTCGGGAATCCGACAGAAGAAATACTTTTGCTAACCTTTTTACCCGGCCATGTGTGTCACAAGCGTGGACAAAGTTCATGCGACTTTTGACCGGGACATCAACTTATTGGTTAACGCTATTCGCTCCTCCGGACCATCGAATCTCGTCAGTGTTTTTAAGTACTCTCACCCTCCATTGTTTTGTACTCTATGCACGTATTTGGTCATGTTCATAGTCATTCGCTGTGGTCGGTGATGCTGCATCGTGGAAGTCCATCGCAGCCGACACTATTGCTTTGGGTCTACCGTTACGAAGTGTTAATGAACGTGCGCGCGAGTGACAGAGATGACTCCTTTGTTGTCACTTCAGGCGTCCGTGATATTTGCGTCCTCTCTTTCAACTTTTTCGATTTACTTGATACACTGGGTTATATAGCATACGTTGGTATGTGTTCCGATGTCCCTGCAGGCTGCGATCCGTGTACTACGTATCTTAAATGTTGCGCCACCACAAAAAACTTCTTCAGAGAGGTAGTATTGTTTCCTAGACAAGTGTGAAGGCAGCCTAAGTGGACTTGAAAGTAAACTCTCCGAAATGAATATAATCGCCTCAAGTTTCGCTGTCGGAGATATCTTTCAGTTTACCGTAATTAGTGAGCCTTCCGAATTACTAGACAACCTCTGCCAAGTAGGTAAGCTGAGGACGAGATCGACTATCGCACCAACTAGGTGGACGCTGCCTCCATTCGATTCTGTTGAAATCTCTTGAGCTGAAGTGAGATAAAACAAAACTAGATCACGAGTACACGGACGCCTGTCAGAAAAAAGTATATCTGTCCGAGGAAATCGGTCGAGTATGGCTATTCTGTTGATGGTGATTTCAAACTGCTCCTTAGATTAGCCCATCCGACCGTGTTTCCGACTGATGATTTTACCGTCGGTCGGAAAAACAACCAGTCAACCTCGTCCTTATTTTTAACTGGCTGGGATGGCACAGTCACTAGCCGCTTTAACCTAAAGGCGAAATCCGCCGCGTTGTCTTACACGCTTCTGCCTAACTACAGTGTCGAGCTTGTTGTTTAAAGACGTGCGTTGTCGTGGTGGCAGCTCACCCTAAGCTCTATCTGATTTGATGTCCGGTCTGTCCTTCTCTACGGTTGTGAATGCTGGGCTTTGCGCTTGGAGGACGAGCGAAAACTGGAGGTATTTGACCACCACTGCTTGAAGACCATCCTTCGAGTGAAGTTCACCGACTTCGTCTCAAATGGAACAGTCCGCGCTCGCTGCGACAACATCTCAAGGATAACTCAGGCCATCCAAGAAAGACGACTGAGGTAGTTCGGGCATGTTCTTCGTCGTCCACCTCAGGAGCTCAGTGTTACTGCCCGCGATCCGACACTGTTGCCCCTTTGGAGGCGTCGAAGAGGGAGTCAGTTCAAAACCTGACTCGACACAGTTCGTAAAGACTTGGAGGTGGTTCTTGGACCTTCGGTATTCGGTCTCCGTCTTTGGCGAAGGGAATGGGTTTAGCTGTCCAGATCTGCTGCCGCGGATCGTCACGCATGGAGAGGTACAGTTCGTGAAATTGTCAAGGCCGGCTAGATCAGGCATGATCGCAGCCGTATCAAGTACAAGTAAGCAAGTTCTACCTAACGACAGTGTCGAGGTTGTTGCTTAAAGATGTGAGTTGTCGTGGTGGGAGCTGACTCTGAGCTCTATTTGATTTGCTGGCTTAGTTTCGTCGAGAGACTGCAGCCAACTGGCTTCAAGAAAAGGTAACAGACCGACAGCATGGGGCCGCTTAAATCGGTGGTAGCAAATCCCCTTAAGAGCTCCGTTGCGTACTTTCTTGCGGCTTTCTTAGCATACTGGTCAGCATGCTCGACAGTTGGCACCTTCTTGAATGGTCAACTTTTTATGGAGTATGCTGAGCTATCATGCGGATTTGGTGGTAAACAGGACTGCAGGCACTCTTTCCTCCACAGGATCGCATCGGAACAGTTTACTTATATCTCACTATTTAGCACTTATTAAACAGTGCCTTCTGAATTGCTTAACCTTGGCTTTGTTTATTTTCATTTTTGTAGTGCGAAACCGAACCTGGACGAAGTCTGCGTTTCTGGCGAAACGGTGTTGAGAAATAGTGACATACTCGCACATCGGCACCTGGACACTGCCTAATTTGCAATTTTTGACAGACTTCTTTTTTGCCCAGTGCTGTACATCTTGGTGCATGAAAATGACTTTTTAACCGACACCGAGAACATTTCAAGTCGACTTTTGCGAAGATATTGTTGATAAGTAATCAAAAAAATCAGGTCTAGCTGGGAGTTTTAGCAAGTATGCTGCCTTACTGACCGTATATAAGTGCCACTACATGCAAGATACTGCTTAGAAATTGTAAGTAACTTTGGATATCAACAGCCTCTCCGTGAGCTTTAACGCTTGTCTTTGTCCTCGGAATCCCTATTCTACAGCAAGCCACAGCTTATTTATGGCACTAACACGTGTGTATTTGGACATAGACAGCGTTTGCACAACGCCAGCCGAAATTTGGGTTGCATTTTACCGTCTACAAAGCCTGGCCTTCTACAACGATAATATGCTATTCATGAAGACCTTGCACCTTTGGCGAGGAAAGGTGGTTCTGAAAAGTTGCACGCTGTACTAATGTCGAGGTTGGGCTCCTGAGTGATGTGGATATTTCAAGTGCTGTAAAAAGGCTTTACTACGGCTATTTAGGGTCTGACGATCCGTAAGTATGGGCACGACAAATGAGCGCATGCTTGTGGCGCATTTTGATACTCAGCCAGCGTAGGTCGCTCATAACTGTTGTAGTTATGACCGGCCTGCATCAAGTCATCTATCGTGTAATTTTTCCAGTCATAACTCCAACGACAGGGCTGCGCTGGAGTGGTGTCTCCTATGAGCATTTTCGAATTACTCTCAACGGTCGCATTATCCGCTGTTTACGGAAACTAGCGATCTGCCGAAGTGGTTCGCTGGACTTTCTCTATTCCATTTCGGAAATCGCCGGCTCCACATCGAACGCCAATGATTATCCGTTGGCAGTAGGCAGTCTCACTAGGGCTTTATACTCAATCATCTCGGCAGTGTGCTGCATTAAGTGCACGTCAGCCCTAAAAGCGCACACTCTTGACTCGTTTTGTGTCGTAGCGACGACTATCATGGCTTCTTCAACAGTATGTTCGCCGGTCTCAAAACACCGGATAGCTCGGTCGTTCTTAGGACTGAGGCCGGACTGCACTAACTCCCTTATGTGTCCTCTATGGCCTTCTCGTTTGAGTGATATCCGACCACCACACCAATGAGACCCGGCACATGTGGTTTTAGAGACTGGACTGTCTGCAGCATGCGTAGACTGACCGCCTAACCTTGTCGGCCATTGAACTCATGTCCACTTCTGTGCGTCTTGGCTATGCATTGCTATCGTAATGCGGTGGGTGTGGGGGTGTAGGTCGTTCATAACTGTTGTAGTTATGACCGGCCTGCTTCAAGTAATCTATCGTGTAATTTTTCTGGTCAAAACCCCAACGACAGGGCTGCACTGGAGTGGTGTCTCCTATTTAGCATTTTCGAATCACTCTCAGCGGTCGCATTATCTGCCGTTTACGGAAACTAGCGATCTGCCCAAACGCCAGCGGTCTACTGTAGGGTGGACTGCAAGGCACTTTCTCGCAATCTTTTCAATCGGGTAGATATGTAGCCTTGGCCAACGAGAATCCTATAAATCAAGCCTTACTACTACCGTTTGCGGATTGATCTTTCTGGCGCATTAACTGCTAGTGAGATATCGAATTGGCCCTTTGGAGAACACAACCAAGAAGAGCCCGATGAGTCCAGCGGAAACGTCTTCTCTGCGCAGGATGCTTCTCTCCGAAGTGGTTCGCTGGACTTCTTCTATTCCATTTCTGAAATCACCGGCTCCTCATCGAACGTCAATGATTATCCGTTGGCAGTAGGCAATCTCACTAGGGCTTTATAATCAATCCTCTCGACAGAGTGTGCTACAATAAATGCCCGTCAGCCCTAAAAGCGCACACTCTTGACTCGTTCTGTGTCGTAGCGGCGACTATCAGAATCTGTTCAACAGTATGTTCGCTGGTCTCAAAACACCTTTGCCACCTGACGAGTTTTGGGTTAGCGACCGATTAAGACCTGGGGGGGGGAGGGGGCCGCTCCACCATGATGGAGCCTCTGGTTGAAACAGCTGACACGAGCGGAGCCTTGGTGTACCAGATACCGCTCGAGACAGAGGCGCATCCCTCACTAGTGAGTCCGATGCAGCCTTACGACCTGTCTTATTTCTATGATATCCGAACCTGTGAACGACATACTAAACGACGACTTCATGTCACCCCAGTCACTGGGTCCAATCTTATTTCTAGTCGGCCAGCAGTTTGTGTGAGAGGGAGAAGTGCGGGTAAGATTGGCCCAGTCTAGACTCGTCGCCTGGTTTCTCACTACAAACAAGCAAATGAACTTTGAAGCTAACACGAGACGCTAACAACCGGGGTTTGGGAGTTTGCCTTCTGGCCGGATAGCTCGATCGTTCTTAGGACTGAGGCCGGACCGCAATAACTCCCTTATGTGTCCTCTATGGCCTTCTCGTTTGAGTGATATCCGACCACCACATCAATGAAACCCGGCACATGTGGTTTTAGAGACTGGAATGTGTGCAGCATGCGTAGATTGTCCACCTAGCCTTTTCGGCCATTGAACTCATGTCCACTTCTGTGCGTCTTGGCTATGCATTGCTATCGTAAAGCGGTGGGTGTGGAGGGGAATGATGCTGCACAAGAACTTTTCCGCATAAATGTGCTCATGTGTAGGTCGTGGTTACACCCACTTCATGGGTCAATGGTGGGCCGCACCGATCAGACTATAGAGCCTCGACCAAGTCACACTAGTGTACACATTAGAAGTCATTTTCCCGAGTATGCATGACGGTTGGGGACTTTTGCGTGTTATGTCGCCGGTTAGTGCACATGCCGTCTTTCGACCAGCTTTCGCTCAGTCACACCAAGACAGTGGTTGCCACCGTAACTGTGGACGATAGGACGGACACCGGCAGATTTTTCTAGCTAAACAGGGAACTATCGACTTTAGTGGTACGTGACGGAGGTGCAAACTGGAGGCCTGGTCCTCAGGAGACTTAACCTTGACCTCAAACTTTACGCGTCATTCGAGTTGTGAACTTTAGTGGAACATCTTCCCTCTAAAAGGCATTATTTCAAGTCATGGATTTTCTGAATTTGAACCTTTAATTGCATCTAGTCTGTATCTGCTTCTGTGGCCATTACCCTGGGTCCTATGGTAGAGAATCTTACTTCAGTCACTAATTATTCTTGCTCGATCAGGATGTCTCTACACGATTGAATTTTCCCGTTTCGATACAGCCAACAAATATTAGTAGTGGGTTTGTTTAACGAACGAGGTTACTCGGCTTCCTATTGCCTTACAAACGGCCCAAACTGCGGACAGCTTTACAGCGGCACACAGAAAGTCTCTCGATCGAACGCGAACTAGAAACCGCATAATATGCTCATTATTCCAGCTATTGACTCGATTTCTGGATTGCAACAGAGTCCATTCTGCGATTGTATTGGAGTACCTTTAGGATGTGGACTTGGGTTGTACATCCTAAAATGTTCTCGAGACCATCTCCCAGCTAACTGGACCAATAAATGATATACAGTGAGTGACCTATTTCATGCACGGAATGTTAGCCGAAATTCTCAAGTGCGTTTTCGATTAGGGAGGATTACTTAGGTGGGGTTGTAATATTGATTATCATGCAGCGTAATCCTATGATATTTCGGACTCGCCAAGGCGTTGGTTTTTGACTGCACTTTTTTTTTGTCTTCTTTAAAAACCGCACGCAGTAAAAAAGACGACTACTTGAGTATGTAGCGGCCAAGCGGTGATGGTGTACGCTCAGTACGCCACAACTTCAGGCCATATCCCAAGTTGTTAGAAGCGGGACGCCAGTTGAAGAGGAAAATGATTTATTTGTTCTGTACAGAATCATGAAGGGAAGGTGGCAACCAGACGAGGATGCGTCCGGCGCCGCTGAGGCGGCGTCCGCCAGAGCGACGAGCCGTGTGTCGCCGAAGGTCGCCGCTGCAAAAAGTGTCGCGGCAGATTGTTTACTCTATTGTTCTGGACTGTTCCCGCCTGTCTTACCAATCAGCGATAGGAGTTGCGTTGATTTGCTCCGAGCCCACGCGAAGGTAGTGACAAGCCTCGCGTGGTGCAGGCAGAGAATCGACCGAATGCGTGATGCAGACAGTGAATTGCAACGAGACATATCGAAGCCGGGCAGACGTGCGTGCCATAGCAGGCTGTCGCTAGGA